GGAGAGTCTTCAGACTGATTAGCGAGTGAAATCTTGAAAGCTCGCGAGATCAGTGTGGTCTCACGAGGCTAGCTAATAACTGGTTCTCAGCTGATTTCTGTATTTCCTCTCTTTGGTGGATCATGTTTTCGTTGTTTTATTGATCAGGTCTTCTTAGACTCTTGAGTTTGCCCTGAACTCAGATTTATCATGTTGAACTGTCTGAACTGAAAATCCTGAATACAAGAGAGGGTACTTAAAATTCTAGCTTGATAGCTTCTTGGTTTCAAAATCTAGGCCTCCACTTTTATTTTGAAAACAGGAAGTCATTACACAATGTAGCTGTTTTCTCTCGCAGTGTTTTTACCGTAAAGTCTATGCAATTCAAATATTGGGGGGCTTTCTTCAATTACAGTGTACCCAGAGCAAATAAGAACATCCAACTTAAACCTAACCTCACTGCAGTGAATCCAGCAGGATTTCAAAGGTAAACAGAAACACTAAGGTAAGGTTAAGCTGAAACACTCACCACTGGCTCCAGAATAATCTGGCCCTGATGACTGGATAGAGGGCTGGTTAAATTGAAGGTGGATCAGATGAATGGTAAAGAGAAAATGGGTGGAGCTGTGCAAGATCTTTAAATAAGTAATCCTGCCAGTCATCAGTGCCATGATCATGACAATTGATGTCCACAGAGAGAGAAGAGGAGAAGTAAATGGACACAGACAGAAAATTCAAAAATGTTGACCTTTTATAAAATAAATTAAAAGAAATGTGTGTAAAGCTACATATAGAAATATGTTTCTTATCGTAAAATGTACGGTGGTTGACAAGGTCAAATGCACAATAAAGGACAACATAACCTGCAAATACTGCAAATAAAACACAGAAAAACAAACAAATGCAACAGAAAAGTGCTGCGATAAGAAGTCAGTTTGAAGCTGGATATTGGATTTTCAAGCTTTGCTGAGTCAACAAATTTCTGAAGCAAACACTCCTGAGAAACAACAATGAATAAATTCCTTGTCTTGTGGCCAATTGAAACAAAACCAATTGAAAATCCTGCAGCTAAGTTAAACAAATAAATCACAAATGTTCTAATTTATTTTAAGCCTTTTTCATATTTTTAATATATTTTTTATTCTAAATGTATTTCTTTTCTTCCATGGCTTCCATTTCATGGGCGGCTGTCTGAAAATGAGTTCCACTAGATGAGACAGATGACGCACAGCCTTAATGCTTCTGGAGAAAAAAAAAACTACTGTATTATTTTCCTCTGCTTAGCTGTTTATTTAACACTTTATATTCTCCTCTCCTTTCACTCAGTAATGTGCATTAATGGGGGAGCTGTTCCTGGAAGGATAAAAGCTTAGACCTCCTGTCTGTTTTAATAACCTGCCATTAAACAGCAGGAGACTTGTTAGGATGATAAAGGTCCTGTTCTCCTCTCCTCCAAGATCTGAGCAGCAGGAGGCCACGTCAATCATAGAGAGGATGCTGCATGCTTTTCTAACGCTAGATGGCAGTGTTTTCCCACACATCTGTCCTCCAGCTGGGCTCTTCTGATCAGATACTAGTGATTTAATGGATGTAGCTGCATCTCTACCTTCTGAAGGTTTCCATCAGCTCCTAAACTTTGCTATAAATCAGTTTCCACAGCTTTATTAGTGTTAATAAAATGAAATCATCCTTCAAATGGAGATTCAGTTCATCCAGAACATTCAGGCAGGCTCTCCATCAACCTATTGATCTATTGTCACATCCATTAAATATGAATATGGATAAAAAGGTCATTAATCTCAGTAGCTTTGCTGCTAAGTAAAATTTTAAATATTATTCCGCCCAGATTGATGATATCAAACCTTCATTTCTGCTCATCTGTTCTCAGTTGGACATCACAGAAAAATAAAAATATTTTCATAGAGGGAAAAAGGTATTTTCATTACTGAGACATCATAAAGACACGTCCATGTTTTTAATCATGTAAATAAACAATTCCAAGCCAGTTTAGAGCTTTAGCTCCACTACCAACTGCCTTCCCTCTTCTATTTTAAGAAAACTATAAAAGATGAGTGGACTTTACACCTGCAAAGGGCTAGAGGTTAAGCCAGTGTCCTTAGGTTTCCGTTCCCTCTCATCCACTGGCCCTCTCTGATTTGTTCACCTGAACCATGGTTGGACTCCTGCTGGATTCTGTCTCTTTCTGTGCGTTTCTGTCTGAGCTGGATGTTCGACACGCAGGACTCTGAATCTGCCTTCACGCTCTGAGGGATTCCTGGAACCCAGATCCATCCGTTCCTGAGTGGATCAGAACACCTGACCGGACTGAAGACTCCTGGATTCCAGAACTACTCCTGTCTGAACTGAGGCCCCGTCCACACGAACGTCAAAATGAACACAAAACACTGATATTTTCC